GGGGGGGCAGGGGGTGGCATTGATCAAGTCAGGAGTGGAAGGGTAGCGTCGCCCAACACACCGCCCCGAGAATAGGACACAGGGGGCACTTTCTGGGTTCCCCCAGTCACCGTGGCCCCTAGCTCCCGCGGTTCCCAAGAAAACAGGCCATGCTAGGCCATTCATAGAAAGGCAATGCCTAAGAGGGGCAAGGAGACAGTCCGGTGGCCAGAGAAGCCCCCATTTCTGTTTGACTATGATTCCCCAAACCAGAAGACTTACTGGTGGGGAGGAAAAAGTACACACACACACACAAAATAAAAATGTCCTTCTCAACCTGTGGAAAGGTTAGCTCCAAACGCCTGCGGGAAGAGCCTTCTTTCTGGCCGCTGCCCATGTCCCAGGACATAGAAGCCAAGAACCGCACTCCCTAGCCCCAGCTCACCAGCTTCAAAACTCCCACCCCAGGCGGGGGTGAGCGCCTCTTCGCTGGTAATTAATTACCGAACTCAAGGGGGAATATGCAAACCGCATATTACTAACTCTACAGGGCTTAAGTGATTGGAAACAGATTATTATCTTGTTTGTCTTTTGTCTGTTTTACTTATCCCGCCGCCGTCTGTTGAGTTGTAATGTTGATACTCTGTACTCTAGGAGGAAGATTTTTATATAGTAAATTCCATCAACATCTTGTATAAGTGACATTGCGTCTCCATGTATTACCCTGTTAAGACACAAGCGGTTTATTAGTTACATATAGGAGGGGATCTCACTGTCTGGTCGCCATCTGTTACACTGTAAGGGTGAAAGGATGCATCTAATGGTTGGTCTGCCGGAGTGCACTTGGGAAGATACTAGGCTGGTGAGGGCCAAGCCAGCTTTGGGGCAGCCCAACTGGATCGAGGGGTTCTGAAACTGGGACCCTAAGCTGCCCAGAGGGTGAAGTCTCCAGGGTAATTTGGAAAGAATAGGTAACTTCCACTCTGGGAGGGGGAGGTCAAGCCAATGCTTTGGAAACAGAGCCTTTATCTCCTGAAACCAGGGACTCAGCCAGAGATGACCAACCCATGCCCCTGCTCAGGAAGACCCAGGGCTGCTCTCTGATGTTTCACATCCCTAAAACCTCCCTGGCCTGGTATCACCGTGGCCTGGGCCTGGCTGTGCACGGGCATTTAAGTCCATCCAGAAGACAAGGGCGGTTGGGTTTGTGCAGGAGTCAGATGGAGCCAGATTCACAGTCCCCAGCAGGAGGCATGTGAGCAGAGCCCCGGCTGGGAGGATACAGGAGACCTGGCTCCGGACATGGGACACTGGACATGTAAGAGATGGGAGAAGGGTGGTCTCAGTGCGTCTCATCTGGAGCAAAGAGGAAGGCGATCAGATGAGGTTTTTTAATAACTATGGAGTGTGTGTGTATCGAGGGTTATTTCTTCCCCTTGCACCCCAAAATCTGTCCTTAGGGTGCACAGTGAGACATATTCATCGTAGTATTGAGCTGGATCCTAGATTTGGAAGCCCCAGCAGAGAGGCGGGGAAGGAAAACCAAAAGAGGCGGAGGCTCCTCGCAGAGAAAGACAGGGAGGAACAGAAAGGAAGAGAAACATAAAGGGGAGAGACGCTGAGCCCAAGACACATGCAGATAAGAAAGAAGAAGTGTGAAGAGATCTCCGGAGAGACAGAAGAACCCCAGTGAGACAAAGACTAAGAAGAGAAGCCTCTCTCTGGGTTGTTTCTTCCTCCTTCTGCCCCGCCCGCAGCTCAAGGACCTTTCCTGCCCCAGGCAGGCAGAGCCAGGTGCAGACAGAAACGGCAGTTTTATTTGGGGTTACGGAAACCTCTCCCTGTTAGTCCCGAGAGGCTATGCAAGAACCATCCAGCGTGTTCCTGGCTAAGCCCAGCTCATAACCAGTCATTCTTAATGCTGTGTAGACAGCGGTCCCCTGGTGAGCAGGTAGAAGCTACCTGGATTGGGGGGGATTCCTTTCTTACAGGCCCAGCTGGAAGGGCCAGTGCAGTGTCTGGTGACCAGCACCCACAGAGTCCTGGTCTCCTCCAGCCCACCTTCCCCGGCATCTGTGGGGAAGAACACTAGGCCCAAAGAGGAACGGGGAAGAGCAAGCATCTCTGCGCCTCAAGACAGGCACAAAAAAACAGTTCCCTGGAGTACATGCACAAATACAAACCTACCCTCTACCGAAACAAACACACCTACACCTACGGGGGTGGGGGGCATGGCATACACAAAACTACTACTGTCCACGCAAATGCACACAGAGCCACACACATCCCGCTGGCACCCAAACACAGACCCACAACACGATGCGCTCACACACACAACCAGCCCAGCCCAGCCACTTACGCGTAGGGTCTCAGGCACGCACTTGCTCACCTACACGCACACACGGGGGCATACGCATTCCGATTTCCAAAGTGCACCTTCTTCCCATCGATGTTAGCACACACGCACACAAATAACCTTGCACACATGCACACTTGCACGGGCAAAGGCCCTCGCGTCCATGCAGTCGCACGTAAGCACACGCACAGAGCAACAAAATGCAAGTGTCCCCATTAACACAGAGAGACGTTCCAGGTAAGTAGGCACAGTCTTATCCACAGAAATTCGCACAGGCCAAAACACACGCGCCACACACACACACACACGCAAATTCACTCTCAGGATGCTTTGCTGGCATGCTAGAAACAGATGCAACAGTGCGATTCTCAAATAGCAAACAGACACTAACGGTGGTGAATATACCCAAACAAATGTTCACAGCTGAGTCTTGGCACCAGCAACTCTTCTCCAGCCTTGAGTTCAGGCCCTACCCATGTCGGGGGTTTTTTGTTTGTTTGTTTGTTTGTTTTTTTCCCCCAGAGCAGAAAGAATGTCTGTGCTGCTGCCCATTTGGGGTCTCCCCTACCTGGAGTACCCGACCAACCGCTAGGCTAGCCTGAAGAGAAAAGAGTGTTGGCCTCTTCCCTTCCCTCTCGAGACACACACACACACACACACACACCTGCAAGCACATCTCCCCCTAACACACTCCCACCCCCACCCCCGGCCCCCTGCCGACTCTAGAACCCTTGAGCTATTCCTCCTATGCCCATTGAGGGGCCCAACTTGCACTGAGTGCAAGCAGCGCCCCACGCTGTCCCTAGCGTCCCCCACCCCAGCCAAGCGACCCACTCTCTACGGTGCCCTGATTGGCTGACCTAGGACCTGGAGGGTGCAGCGGAGAAAAGGAGAGACGTGGCGAGCCTCACCTCCGAGCTGACTGCGGGAATACCGGTCCACCCTGGCCCTCTCCCACCGCCGCCTCTCCCCCCAAACCGGGCGAGCTGTGCACTCAGGCCTGAAAGGCCCGCACCAGGCCATTGTGATACCCTCCGCCCAGATCTGGGCCTGTGCCCGGGGCCCTGCAGCCAGGCGGGGAAGTTACCTACGCAAAACAGCCTTCTCTCTCTCTCTCTCTCTCTCTCTCTCTCTCTCTCTCTCCAAGAGAAAAGCCCGGCTGGGCCCCAACGCGATGTATTACAAAAGGAGCCGGGGCCGGTTCCCAGAGCCTGGAGAACCGAGCTGTCGCAATTCCAAGTCGCAGACCCCAGGGGCGCAGGGGTGGGGGAGTCCAATCTGGGCGGGCTGGGCTCGGAAGGAGGAGGCTGAGGAAGTAAAGCTCGCTCCCGGCCTCGGGCAACTTCTGCAAGTTCCAGGGATGGCGAAAGGGGCGGGAGTCCCTCCTCAACTAGGCCTTGGAATCCTGGTCTTCAAATATTTGTGGAGAGAGAGAGAGAGACAGAGGGAGAGAGAGAGACGCAGTTTCCGGATCGCGCGGCCCCCGACCCCCAGCCCCAAACTGGAAGGTAAATACTTACTTAGCCTCCGAACCAGGTACAAGCTAATACTCAACAATACTGATGCCTTGTTTTTTTTGCTCTGTCCGGACCGCAACGCTGTAGCCAATTTAGATATGCTATAAATTTAAGAGGTTGCCATGGCCACTGTGCGCCCATTGGCCGCCGGGCCCCCTACGTGCCTCGCCACGTCACCAAATCTGAATAAGGATGCGCGAATTAGGCGGCGGCCAGACAAAGATGAGGATCGGGACCGCTTGAAAGTGGGGGAAAGTGCGGGCGCCTCCGCCACCGGGGAAAGCCGCTCGGCAGTGCCGAGGCCAGCAGCCACCGGAGACACCTGGGAGAGCCCGGAACCAACGCGGGGGCGCGCGGCCCGTGGCATGAGGTCGTGAATGCCACCACCTCCCACCCCGCTCCCGGCAGCCAGCGCCAGACCAGCGATCGCCCAAGGACTTGACCCGCTGAGTCTTAGTCCAGACCGGACTCGCCCGGCGGCGGCCGACACAAGCGGCGGAGCAGCGCAGCGGCAGGGCCGGGAGGCCCGGGGGCCGGGGGCCCACTGGGAGGACCAGGCGGCCCGAGCCGCCGGGGCGCGGGGCTATGATGGTGCACTGTGCCGGTTGCGAGCGGCCCATCCTCGACCGCTTTCTGCTGAACGTGCTGGACCGCGCGTGGCACATCAAATGCGTTCAGTGCTGTGAGTGCAAAACCAACCTCTCGGAGAAGTGCTTCTCGCGCGAGGGCAAGCTCTACTGCAAAAATGACTTCTTCAGGTAAGAGGCCGCGCCGTTCTGCCTCCTCCGCGTCCGCCCTGCGCGCGCTCGGCTGGGACGCGGGGAACGGGAGACCTGGAAACCCATCCCAGCCTCCCCGGCGGCTCACAAGCTTAAATGGGAGCAGGCCAGCCTTCTGCTGGGCGCCTGTCCTTGGTCCAGGAAAGGGCCCGAGCCCAGGTGGAGGAAGAAGGACACTGTTTGGGGCCTCACGTTCACTCCTCCCAGCCAGCTCAGAGCGGTGGTGGGGCAGGAGAAGGAAGCTCCGACAAACTTCCTTTCCCACCATCTCTGCCCCTTCCTGGCGGCTGCAACCCTGGGACAGAAGCTTCCAGCTCCCTTCTGAGAGACCAGAGATTTTTGCAGGAGCTGGGGGCTGCTGGAGATTTCTCCCTTTGGGCAGGATGCATGAGCCCAGAGGCTGCCCTCCTGGACAAACGGAAACTTCCCCCCTCTCCAAAGGGGCCCTGCCAGGAAAGTCTCCCCTGGTGATGAGGGGAGGGAGCCCCCCCAACTCACCTCTCAACCCCTTCAACATGTTCTCCCCCTGTCGAAAAGCACAAACGAAATTGAAGCTGGGAGTCAGGACCTCTGGAGTCTAGCGTGGGCTGTGTCACCCCCCCACCTCCCCCCCACACCCCAGCTCCAGTGGCCTCTCAGGTGGTCCCCGGGCAGGTCACCTCTCTGAGCCTCAGTTTCTCCCCACGGGGAAAGGTGGAAGGTCAGCCTGGGAAGCTGTGGGGTTTTCAGAAGCTTAGCCCTGCCTGCTTCCGCCAGACCATCCAGAGCTGGCTTTGTGAGTGTGAATTCCGGGCGCCAAGGGAAGGGGGGCGTGATTAACGCCGCCACCAAGAAAGGCAGCCGGCCCAGCCCAGCAGCTCGGCACCAGAGAATCTGAATAGGAGAAAATGTCAGCCGAGCCTTTACACGTGTAAACTCCCCGGGCCCCCGAGGCCCGACGCCCCTAATGTGGCGGTGCTTGCAAAGCGCCTAATGATTTTTGATAAGGTGCATATGGCCAATTACGCTGCCGGGATAAGGCCAAAAGTGACTTATGGCTTCTAATGCCTTCACTACATCAATGTCACCCAAATTCACCCTGTTTAGAGACATGGGTGTAAGTAGACGTGGGGGCTCCCCAGCGTCCTGGGCCCTTGCCCTTCCCCCAGTCTACACCTCACTCCTCCCTATGGGGGTCCGCACTACCTCTTCTGGGGGAGGCTGACTTCCTCTGTGAGCTCAGCAAGAAGTCAGATAAGAAATGTAGACAGAGGGGAGATCTGAGAGGGTCCTGGGTTCCAGTCCTACGAGGAGGTTTAGGGCTGCTTGCTGTTCCTATTTTCCAGTTGCCTACCAGGACCAGAAGAGATTGGGAGGTTAGGGGCAGAAGGGGGAGTGCTGAGACTCTCTCCCTGCTTCCTCT